CTAGAAAGCAAAAACTTGGATCAATGGCAAAAAAATCTTGATTCTTGTCATCAATGGCAAGTTGCTTTGGTGGATTTTTTAAAAAGCACTCAATAGGCCAGGTGTAGTGGCTCACACTTGTAATCCTAGCACTTTGGGAGGCTGAGGTGAGCAGATCACAAGGTCAAAAGATTGAGACCATCTGGCCAACATGGTGAAACCTCGTCTATACCAAAAATAAAAAAATTAGCTGGGCGTGGTGGCACATGCCTCTAGTCCCAGCTACTCGGGAGGCTGAGGCAAGAGAATAGCTTGAACCCGGGAGGCAGAGGTTGCAGTGAGCCAAGATCGAGCCACTGCACTCCAGCCTGGGTGACAGACTCCATCTCAAAAAACAAACAAACAAAACAACAACAACAACAACAAAAAACAACAAAAAAATGAAAAAGCACTCAATATATTAGTATATATCTACATTTTGTTGAATAAACCCATTTGAATTTAATAAAAAGTAGTGTACTTTAACAGTGCATAGATTATAACAATTTCATAAAACTTTTATTATTGAGTATACTTAAGAGATTCATTTCTATTTATACTGAAAAGTAAGTATACATACTTTGCTTAAACTACACTACCTGAAATTAATATAAAATAAATGTTTGTTTTAGTATATATGTCAAATTTGTATGAAGTAGTCATGGATGAAGGGATATCAAGTACTTTCATATTCATTAAATCACATGACATCACTTACATTTCATTGAATTACATAAGTAATTCAATTTGGGAATAGTTGGCATTTGAATATTTGTTTTGAAAACTGCTGTAGGAAATATTTTAAGTCCAATAAATGTTTCAAGATAGTTTTTGAGTTACTATTTTTATCTAGTAATTGCTAAGAACTTTTGTACTGTTGATTACTGCACACTATTCAAAAATGAAGGTAGTGATCAGATTTTCTGTGTCTTAACAGGTAAGAAACTCACAGCACAATTGGCTCAGTAATACAAATCAGTAATCTAACAGTCAATATTTGATCATAAGGAAAGGAAGAAGTGAAAGAACTGTTTATGGTAAAAGGAAATTTAGGGAAGAAGGGCCTTGAAGAAAAGGAATGGTAAAATCTAAGACCTTGAGAGAACCCGTGTAAGTAAGAGAGGATAGAGAAATAGTGCTTAGGAAAGTTCTGTACAAAGAAATTCTTCATGAGCTTTATTTCAAAGCCAGTAATTGAACTTTGGTGCTTCCTCCATTCTTACATCAATACATTTCTACAAGCAACTCACTCCCCAAATAACTTCAAAAAAATTGTACAATCTAAATGTAAACTTCTTCATTGAGTCCATCATGGCATCTTTGGTTGATGCTGCTTTCAAATTACGGAGATACCTCAGAATTACCTTTCGTTTCCCAAATTTATTAAGAGTGTGCAATATATTTTAAACTTTAAATTCATGAAGCTTCTTTAGGGTGGGTCTTCTAATCTTTCACATAGTGATATCCTTTTGCCTCTGAATCTGTCCATTACTGTACAGTCACAGTGGTGTGTTCTAACCATGACTTAAAATCATTTTCTCCTTCTCTTTACGTAGCAGTGCCTGTACACTTCAGTAGATTCTGAGAATTAGTTTGAATGAGTGGTTCCAAAGTCTATTTAATGTCAATCTATAGTTGCTGTAAAGCAGCCAAGGACTATGATGTGGCTGGCACTCAGTGGCAGGTCTTTAAATGTCCCAGAGTAACTGCCCCCACCCTCTCCTTTCAATAAGGCTTCAATGCTATAAGCAACGTAGCGTCAAGAGAAACTAGAAAATACCTGTTCAGAAAGATATTTTAGACATTCTCATTTAATTAAACATAGATAATGTGATCTGTTTCTCAAATGCATTCTCCCCTCAAAATGAAATTACATACTAAATACATTCTACATGCTAGTTCAAGAGCTTTCTGGTGGTAGTCAGGAAGCAACATATCTCTTTGTGTGCCCACTTTGCCCCTTTACAATGTAAGCTTAGTATTACCAGTAGTTGTGATGAAAATAATCTCTTGTTCAGCCCAAGATGATGTAATGAATCTGTCATTAAGGTGCTGTTGAGGACAAAGATCAGGAAGCAAAATCATCTAACAGAGCCCAGGGTGAGAAAGAAGCTTATGGATCTCCATCTGTTAAATTTGTAATTCTTCCAAGCATGCACATATGTATAAATGCACTTGACATATATATTCACAAAGAATATTTCCATCCCACAAATTATAAAAGTCTTTGAAAGATAGAGATATGTATAAGTGTTCTATAAATGTAGCTCAATGACTTACATAAACAATTAGCTATAATTTTAAAAAATGAGCTATTTAGATGCTTTGCTTTAGTAGTGAATGTATTTAGTTATAGAGATTGTTTAGCAATAGACATCAGTTAAGTGAGCCACAGGCGAGTTGATTTGAAGTAAATTTACTAATTTAGCTGATTAAAGATTTGTTAAGCCTTTCTTTTCAAAGAAGCCTTAAAGCCTTTAAAAATGAGTGCTCATCATTCTGATAAAATAGGAAACCCACATGTTTTATTACTACCAATTAAAAGATACTGGAAATGAGAAATTAAGAGAGTACAGACCAAGGCTAAAAATAACTATTTCTTTTCTTTTCTTTCTGTTTTTCAGACAGGATCTTACTCTGCTGCCCATGCTTCAGTGCAGTGGAACAATCACAGCTTACTACAACCTTCCCTCCCGGCCTCCCAGGTTCAAGTGATTCTTGTGCCTCAGCCTGCCAAGTAGCTAGGACTATGAGTGGGTGCCACCACACCTGACTAATTTTTGTATTTTTAGTAGAAACAGGGTCTTGCCATGTTGGCCAGACTGGTCTTGAACTCCTGAGCTCGAGCAATCCAGCCACCTCAGCCTCCCAAAATGCTGAGACTATAGGCATGAGCCACCCAACAAGGCTAAAAATAACTGTGTCACTGGCAAGTTTAGATTGCCTAAAGAAAAATATGAAAACATTTGTATGGATTTTTCCCTTAGATTTTAAGACAAGAATGATTAAAACACTACATTATAATATCTGGCAGAGGTTCATTTGATCACCATATTTTAAGAAATTTAATGCAAAAGAGAAATGCAAAACATTATTCTCTAGATCGGTATTTATACTTCTTGTGGTGACACTTAAATAACTCGGGCAGCTTTCTGAGTACCTGGCAGTTTCTACAAAATATGCCAAGTAAGGAGCACAACATTACTACACTGTATCATGTCATTTTCTTCTAAAACAGAAATATTGAACTTTCACCACATGCTACTGTACAGCAATGCTATGGCAACATCTTCGTAGAGTTCCTACGCTCCTTTGAAAAGTAGGATCTAATCAGCACAAAAGGAAATAAACTATCATCATTGCTGTTGCTATAATTACCTAGTTGGCAAAATAAGCTGTATACAGAATCACACATTAAAACAAATTTGCTTAGGAAAACTAAATGTTTTATTTCAGCTCAGCTTATATTTTCAAGTGAATTGGTTAACAATTAGAAAAGAAATTGTTGATAAACATTGCATTATGTTTATTTAATTTTTATTTCTGGTTAAAAAGGTTAACTGTTTTCACTGTGGAATATTTAGAAAATATAGATTTCTTTCTTTAAAAATAGTTAACCATAAGGAAGCCATAATTCATCATTAGAAGACAGAATCTTTTTTTGTATATCTTTTACTTTATAGTATTTTGATATTTTTTCTCTACTGTAGACACATTTGGGATTTATTTCCAACTTACATAAATGTATCATAATAACACTAACTCGATATGATTTTATTATCAATAAAGATAGATTTTAAAAATGTAATCAAAATGTTCACATTTTTGTAATCACTTAATGTGGCAAACATTTTGTTGATACTTAAATTCGTTTAAACAGAGGCCAGCAGTACTGTAGATATTTCTGAGTGATTTCAAAGAATGTGCAGGAATATACGTCTGTGTCAATTCTTTAAACGAGTAAAAGGAGCATCTGTAATGTAGCACAATCAATCACAAAGAAGTAAACTGATGCAGGAATTGCCTATACACGTTTTCAAAGGACATGCAGATGTGTAGATTGAATTACAAGAAAAAAGATCACTTTCTAATAAGGCAATTGACATAATTATTTTGTAAAAAATACAAAAGTGCAAGAACGTACTTTAGAGTAAATATTAAGTACAAGCTTAATGGAAGAGTCTATCATGTAATCAGCGGACAAAATGAGCCACAGACCACATTTACATACTTAGTTTAAAATAGAAACAGAGTCCCAAGAGAATAGAAACAGAGTCCCAAGAGATAACCATTTTACTGCTGCCCAGTTGAGGAGAAAATAATTTAAATATTTCTACATTAAAGTTCAGAGAGTCAAGGCAGCTGCTGCAGAACAAAAACACTAATGATAAGGAAAAAAAGAGTTTTTCCAAAGAGGAACTGGATATGAATTAGATATTGTTAATTACTTCAGACGGCCCAAGTGAAAATTCAGACTTCTTTCTCTGTTCTTGACCTTATTTCATGTTCTCACTTTCTAAGCACATTTGGTTTTCATGTTAATCAGTCACAATTACCATGTCTAATCGACTGTGGATCTAGATCCTTACCAGATCCCAGCCAATATAAGTTAGCAATGCAAGACTTATTTTGTGGTCCATTTCTTTGGAGGAATACGTTGTATTTCAGTTCAATGACTATATACATGATGGTCAACTTCCAGCCCATATCTGGATGCATTCTTGAGTTGACTCTGAATCAAATAATTTATTCTAAATTAAAACTAAATATTTATATTAATCGAATGAGGCTTTTATAATGTATTCCAAGTAAAGCATGAATTTCCAGAGAATGGCATAATTGAAGCCCATACTAGAGGATAATTATTCATGGATTTGGGTTGAAACTTTCCTTTTAGTACCTCCACTTATAGCAGATTGAGAATTAAAATCTGAAGAAAACTCTCTTAGATAAGACATTTGTAAAATAAAAAACTCACTCACCATTCCGACTCTCTTCATCAATAGCAACTATGGTAGCTGGAGGTCCTCCCCTAGCTAGTTTGCAATCTAAAGAGAGAAAATAATGAAAAGTAAGAATTGACTGCAGGGGCACACACACTGAGAAAAAATTCATTGAGATGTATATTAATATTTAAAAAGGAAAATCTTGCAACCTAATTGATATGCATCACTACTTTTAATATTATTTAAAAATATTTTATAATAATGACACAGATTCCTTACCACATCATAATACAATCACTCTGTGCACCACAAACTACTCAAATCTTACTGAGAAAACACCAGCAGGCATCACTGGAGAACAGAAGTCCTTCAGGACATATATAATGTGATGGAAATTTAACCCAAAGAAATAACATAAAGGGATGATTAACAAGGATAAATTGTAATTAAAGCATCACAACAGAAACAAACATAATTGGACTTTAATTGTGATAAAGGGTCTAATTAGAGAGAGTGAATAGAATTTTAATAATGTTCTAAAGAGAATAAAACAAAGACAGACAAGCAATGCTCATGAAGTTGTTTGGGATTTTTATTTTTGTCATCTTACCCTCATATTGCCAGTCTGGAGTCAAAAGTATAGAGTCATCAATGGAAGCAGATCAGAAAAATGGAGGAAAGAAAGGAAGAGAGAATATATGTATATATTTAGTGAGAGATTTAAAGATATAAAAAGCATTATACCATAATAATATCTAATGATTTGTGGAAATAGAATATATAAACTTCCTATCAGATTTTGTACTTCTAATATAATACTAACACATTCACTGGATAATACACATCATTAGCATTTTAAAAGCCATTACAAAAAGACTTGAAAATAACATAAATTGCCATGTTTCTTACGAAAAGATAAATATGAATTACTTATGAACAGTGTGTTATCTGTATGCTGAAAAAACTTTAAGAATAGTGCCTGTCAATCAGTAGTGATGATTAATTCATTATTTCAAACACTGATAATATCCTGCCAGGTATCACATGATAATGAACATAAAAATAGTATCATGAGCTATAACATTCATGACAGTTGAAATGTGAAAGCTTTGCCTGCAGGATGTCAAATGTGCATCTCTGAGACATAAAGTACTCTCCTAGGAAATACTCTGTGAGACTGAGAGGGCTATGTCAAGCAGTTATACATACACGGCACACTTCTGTACAGCAGTGGAAATTAATTTTGCTTAACATTTTCCAAATTTGTGTGTTATTTGGGAAATAATTTCAAGGTTTATTTACTCATTTATTAAAATTCTGCCATTTATTATGTACATATACATGAAAAATTAGACCTTTGGGAAGCACTGTTCTGTATTGTAAGGTATGTACTCTCTCATATGAAGCAAAGAAGCTGGGAGAGCTACAAATTTTCTCTATTTATACTTGTCAATATTCAAGGAGTTCCAAGTCATAACATTTTCAGATCTAAAGTATCTCATACTCATTATGCCTCTTCCTCTCCTTATGCCCTCCGACAGAGCTCAGCACTACATAATTTGTCATCTCTGCTCTTGATTTAGTTTCCTCGCTGATCTCCCAGAAGTCTTGTTCTCATCCTGCATTCATCCATTCCTTTCATGAGGATGATTTTCATGTACCCAAATCAAAAGTGAAATAATGGCAGTCCTCTGAACAAAAATCTTACATGTTTCTTTTGGAGAAAAGGGAAAAAAAGAATCAGGAGAACAAAGTTTCTTCACATGGCCTCAACATCCTTTATTGAGAATTAAGCAACCTGTCCTTCAATTACATGAATACTCTTACTGTTGCTGGAATGCACCTTGTATTTTTAAGAAAATTTTGTTATCTAAATTCATTGTCACCTTTTTCTGTCTAGGAAATCTCTGCTTCTTTTCGTAGAATTAGAAATTCACATATTTGCACTTAGTGCAAATTAATTTTGATTAAAGCCTTCCAAATTTTCATGTTACTTGAAAAATGATTTCACAATTTCCTATTTACTGTTTTATAAAATTTGGTCAATTATTATGCACATAGAAATGAATAATTAGGCTTTGGAAAGCACTGTTCCATATTGTAAGGTATACACTCTCTCATATGTACACACTACACATATACACACTCATGTCACTGTGTGCCAATGCCATAATACCTACTGAAAATGGATAAAATGTATGTATTTTAGTGTGAATATTGGTAGAGAAATATTTAATCAACAACTTTATGGGCAAGCAGAATATAGAAAAATACAAGAAGGGGAAATTTGGATATAAATATTTTTAAACCTTTTTACAGTTTATTACTATTAACTTTAAAGGTAGGCTTTATGAAGCTAAGCCAAATAATATCTTCATATTCCAGCCCTTCCTCACTCTCCACCTTAATTTCTCCACCAAAGTTAATTCTCCATTCATACCAAACCAAATGTGTGTGTGTTGTATCAACTGTTAAAACATACTTTCCACTCTTCTTCCCCTGGTTAATTTTATTTCTCTTTCAAGAATCTGTCAGGCATCACCTCTTCTTGAAAATCTTTCTCATTGTCATTGTATTTTTCTCAGTATTCCTGCAGTACACACTGTATCCCATTGGACTAATTGTACCATTGGCAAAATACTAACATGTCTTTCTCTCTCACAAGAGTTCCTTCAGACCAAGCCTGCATCATTTTCACCTTGGTAACCTCAGAACCTGATACTGGTTCTGAAAGAATGTTTGTTGCCTTTTTCCACACTGTAGCCTGCCAAGCTACAATCTTCCATTAAAACCTCTCCATAAGAGTTGCTTGAAAGTCTCTGTTCTCACTAACCCCTCGATAGCAGAAACATTCCAGAAGAAGCTGCTTAACTACATTTTCTCCTACTACAGTACCCTTAGATAATTCCCACTAAGATTTATTCTTTTAGTAGATTCAAAATTCTCCCCAATAAAACATATTTTGTATACTACATATACTTCTGGATATATACAAAAATAATTTAAACTTTTTTAAGACTCAAAACACGAAATGAAAAGAGGTTAGGCAGACACATAATAAATAATCTATTAATAACATTGTTCATAACAAAGTGTTTTAAAATGATGCATTCAGGAAAGTATAATTAATTAGTTTTGAAGTGCACAAAAGCATTTTAAATAAGAACAATTATATAAGAATTGTCTTGAAAAGAAAGTAGCTTGAAGGTAACAGTCAACTATATATTATGTATGAAAATATCCAAATGTAAATCAAAGGGAAGACTAGAAAGCAATTTGGGGGATGGGGAGATTGTACTCTATAGCCTGTGGATCATCCGTCTGCCACAGGAAAGTCAGGTGAGCTGCTGATACTTGTACCTTGGGAATGGACCTCCTTAATCTATTTAATTTCACCCTTGACTGTCCTGGTTAAATCACAAATTCATTGTTTTTCATGCCTAAAGTTTCTAGCCTGTTAGGCCTATACTCATTTTCCATATCCAATTTGTTATAAAGTACAGGATATGAATACCAATATCTGAATGCTCAGTGTGGCTTATTTCTGCAAACTTGTCATAATGCTAAAAATAAGCCATATATTTAAAAATATTCATACGCAATAGATGAGATATAAAATCCAAAGTGAAGAATTAAAAAGACAAATAATGCTTGATCTCACAGATACTAAACCTGTGATACTCTGTTTTCATTGTAGCCTGAATTTTAAGAGCATGTTACAGAGAGGTCAGACAAAGGCTTTTAAAAATCTAGGATTTTCCAAATATGCTCATTTTGTAAAACTAAGAGGAAGCAGCCAGGAAATAAAATTCTATTCCCACTTTAGCCTGTTCTCAAAATGTTAAACATTGATCAATGTGTTTTCAATAAAACTTCAAAATTATTTACTTTAAAAAATATATTAACATAGTAATTGCCCCATATGTTAATAACTTGTGTATTGAATTTCCTACCCATATTTCTCTTCTGGGCCTGGGTCCCATATGCCCAGACAACTTCTGTACTTGCAATTTCAAAGTTGTCTTAAATGTAGCACTCCAAATCGCATCCCAGTTGCTATCATAGACCAAAACTGGACATTTCCAATATATATATATTATTTCAGTGAATGGCATAATTCTGCACCAAGCCGCATAAGCCAGAAACTAGGAAGTCACATTTCACTTTACCCATATTTCTAGCTTTCCAAAATGCATCAATCAATAAGTCTTGAATTTAACTCCTAAAGAGAAACTTGTGATATCCACTCATTGTTTTCAATCTGCAGTAGTATCAGACTATCTCTTAACTAATCAAATAGGTTTTCCTAACTGCTTTCCTTACAATCAATCTTGCCCTTATTCTAATTTAATTTTCTATCTTTAAGCAGAGTGATCTTTATAATTAAAACCTTGCTTATTTTAAAAATAATTTACCATTTATTTTAGGTTATAAGCTAAAATATTTTGGCCATCTAAACTCATCACAAATATGATTCTAGAATGTAAACTAACATTTTATATAACCTACAAAGTCCTGCACAATATACCTTCTCCTTCCCTCTCTAGTCTCATCTATTTCCATGTTCCTATTTTCTCAAAACCAAATAGTTTTTGATCCCTTGACTAGGTATGGTGCCCCTATATACACTCTCATAACTCTGCTTCATAATATCAATTTACGATTACTCGATTCTTCACAGAAAGAAACTCAGTGATAACATCGACCTTGTTTCTATTCCTCGTGGTTGTGTCCACAGGGCAGATTTTCCTGGCACATTTTTTATTTCAAGTAATTATTTACTGAAGGCAAAAATGAAGGGCCTCAATCAAATTTGTAAACAATAAAATTAAAACAACACTCTGTACATTAATTCCTTTTCTTTTTAATTTTTCAAATGTCTTTCTCAAATGAAAGTACAGCAGGTCCTTGAATGACATTGCTTCACTCAATGTCATTTCATTGTAACAATGAAAAAAAAAAAAAAAAAAAAAAACAACTAATTCCAGGCCTGAGTCACTATTTGTGTGGAGTTGGCAACTTCTCCCCAAATCTGTGTGGACTTTCCCTGGGTACTCCAGTGTCCTCCCACATCTCAAAGATGTGCATGCTAGGTTCATTGG